CATCTTCTTCATCTCCTCTTCTACAGCGTACTGCACAACCAAAGGAGCCATCTCCCGGAACTTGGCGGTAGTCTTCGTCACAGTCTCAGTAGTCTGGCGAAGGTCCTGAAACTCCCTTGCCAACTACTGCACCTCGATCGCCGATGCAAACTTCCTCTAAAATCTCATAACAAACTCCTCCCAGGACATGAATGCCACAACCGCATTCCCTACAGATCGACCAACCTAAAGCCACGAGTCGCATGTCCTATCCCAGTAAGCAGGATGCAAACCCTACCTTTGCCCCCTGAGGGCAAAATATCGTCCACTGAGCATTCTCCATGTCAGTGATCCAGTGTTTGCTAGCGATGGGGTCCTAAGCCCTAAAGAATTCAGAAGATTCACAAGCTTTGAATTCCTGAAATGAAGGAGTTCGCGCCCCAATTTAACCTGCAACAATATCGGCATTGAATACTCTGATTCGCTCATCCACGAGCTCCATAATCCCCTCCTTGACGGTACCAAACATCACATGGGTACCATCCAAAATGCCACGAGTAACCTCGACTGCAATAAACTCACACAGCCTCTTATCAATCAGTTCTATACCCGAGCCAGAGCCAGAACCCGAACCAAAAGCTGAACCGGAACCTCCTCCTCGAGTAGTCATCACCATACTCAAACCGAAATACAAACATAGAAACCATCCGCATAAACTCTAAGGAATTACCAATACACGTGTCTCCTTAGAATTCCTAGGTCTTTCCTTGTCTCAGATATAGATCATGTGCTTCCAATAATACCGGCCCAAGACTACCTTTCAGACATATATGTACCTTCCTCATAAACCGTCCTAATTCCTCTAAGTCACCACACTAGAACGATAAACCAATCCTATGCTAAACAATATACATATCCTAGACTTTCCTAGCGATCCTTATCTTCCACGATCCACAATAGTGAGAACCTCAATCAACCATGTTGGTTACCTTATGCATGCAAGTTATACACAAAATGGGATCACATAGACTGTCAAATGATGATTCTACCCTAATTCCACAACCAAAAAAGGAACAAGAAATTAGGCTAAATCAATCATTCTAGGGCTATATAATCCTAATCGTATACAACTTTGAAAGTATACACTTAGCAATTAACTAAGTCGATATTAATTCCAAGCAATACATAGCATCCAATCTTCCTAAGTTATAAGGCATCACACAAATCAGGTAATTCTATCATATGATAGCTAAAAATATCCTTAGCCCTACTCTAGCATGCAATTCATATATCAACCATACTAATTAAAATACATAGGTATAGGTAATTTGGGAACCACCTACTTGAGCTTGGATGATTGCACGCATCACACCCCTTTTCTAGTCTTGTGAAGGAAATATTTTTAGAAATTTAATTTTTTTGGAAAAGATTAACATTTCCTCAGTTTTAGTTCTGGCACACGTGAAAATATGTCTGAATCCCTCAAACCGAGGCTCTGATACCAACTTGTAACATCCCAAAACCATGGATAAAATTTTCATTTTTATTTTAATCAAAAACCATCAAGCATTCATAACAAACCCAAACATAATATGTTAAAGAAAAAGTGTAATCATCAAAGTACAAATCCAAATCATAAGAAAATGCGGAACATGGGTGATGTGATGCGATCAAACCAAGCCCTTCCCTTTTGTACCAGAAGTACCTGAAACCACAAACATAACTGTAAGAACAAAACATAGTGAGCTTCCCAAAATACCACATACATCATATATATAATATAACATCACGTGGCTCTGTCAGGTCGTATCAACCCCCGGGTCCGTATCAACCCCGATTTCATAATGACTCCGAGCCTAGATTAGCTCCATCATGAAATCACACCAGTCAAAATCATAAAATAGCATATATTCTACGCATATAATACAGCAGGTCAGCCTTGGTTCCTTCGACCCACTTAAGAAGGTAAGAAGACTCACCTCACAGACAGACGAAAAGCAGAAATAACACGCTGCTCCGAAAACCACGCTACTGGCCACCTTTACAAATAACAGTGACCAAAACTCAGACTGCAAATCAAAATACCCAAAATACCCCTAGGTCAAACCTAGCCAAAACAATGTTAAAAGTCAAAGTCAATGGCCAAGGTTGACCATCCACGTCGTGGCCTTCAAACGACAAAACAAATGTGTTTCCCCCAGTCGACACGTCGTGGCAACCTAAGCCATGCTGTAGGAACTCGATCCAAAACATCCTAATGAGCTAAGTCGAATCCTCCAATTCCAGAGGTTCGAAGTCTAGATCTGATCATCTCTATTGTCCAAAAGGGTAAAGTTTCCACCTTTAATCCTTGAGATCCACCATGAAGTCAAGATCTCAAGTCCACTACTAGGAAAACAGCCTTTTACGATGCACAATGCGTGTCATAAAACGCTCAGATGACGCGCAAATGCGTGTCAAGGAAGGCCCTGTCATAACGAGAGACGACACGCTTTTGCGCGTCGTCTATTTATGACGCGCATTTACGACGCACAATTACGACACACATTTACGACGCGCGTTTACGACACGTATTGTGTGTCAAGGAAGGCCCTGTCATAAAGGAATATGACACGTATTTGTGTGTCGTAACCTTACGACGCGCGTTTAGGACACACATTGCGTATCATTAAAGCACTGTCATAAAAGAAGATGACAGACATTTGCGTGTCATAAACTTCAACAACCATTTACGATATACATTTACAACACGTCTTTACGATACTCATTTACGCATAATATAAAAATATGGAAACAAATATATACCAAAACAATCAATTTCATCCAATAACATCATGTCAAAAAATTATAATACATTGGCATTAAGGGGATTTGATTGTACATTGCTATTAAGAGGTTTTCCCTAACTATATAACCTAATACTACATTTCTATTAAGGAACACCTTCTTGTTGTTATAGAAGCCTCTAAAGAATCCTTGCTCAAGTACAGTTGGCAACCTGCTGAGTTGTCCACTGAAATAATAGGGGTTGTACCCTATAATTGTCATCATCAACAAAATCCAAAGATACCAATAGTTAATAGCCACCCACCCATAATTTTATAACTATTCAATAATCAATAATATTATTACTACAATTCAATCTTACAATACACCAAAAATGATGTATGCCATACCTGGCATTGGACCTCAATACTATTGCAATTAACAATTTCACAAGCAGCAACAACATCCTGTTTTTGGAGTCAAAATGTCAGTGTTCGTTTTTTTTAATTAACTCTTGTTCAAATATAGAGAACCATAGTTTCATAACTTACAGTGAATACTAAACCCATTTTTGTTCAGTTTGCTGGAATAGAAACAAAGGAATGAATTGAACAAAGTAATGCAATGGAATGGGTCACTACATTCCATTATCATGTGTTGGTTGATTTGAAGGAATAGAATGAGCCTAGTGAACATGTTGTTTGTCATGTACACTTAGAAAATAAATAAGTGACTTTGTTAGTTAAAAATGAGTGACTTTAACATTTTGTGACCAAACTGCCCTTGTATATAATTGTTTTTTGGTTGAAAATGAGTGACTTTAACAGTTTGTGACCAAACTGCCCCTGTAATTCCTAAGTTCAAAATAAATAACCAGAAAACATTGACATCATTTAATTTAGACCAAAACTATTTCATTCTAACATTCTAACATGCTTTTCATACCTTTGAGACTTGTAGATTCATAAGTGCTACTACTACTACTACTACCTTCATTGTTTGATCCTTGAAAAGATATCTTTTATATATTATGCTTTATTCGCCTTCCCTTTTTTACCACTCTCTCTTATTATCTGTATATACATACAAGTAAATTAAATAGTACAAACATATTTTTAGAACCAAAAATTAATAAAAAATTAAAAAAATATATTTTAAAATACCTTCCCACTAGCTGACACACGGTCACCGTTGTTCATCGCATAAAAGAATAAATAATTGGAAAAAAAAATATTAAGCACATTAATTAAATCAATGATATGAACTATCTTGATTGCTGAAAATGTTTGAATGAAAAGAAATGAATATGGGATTCACCTTTGCTGCTTGAGTGTTTGAGTGTTGCTGATTTACTTTATTAATGATCTTCTCATGAATAGCTCTTTTCATCTTCATTACATCTACCCATTGGCTAGAAGGTCCCTGAAAATATTATATATGCAAATTGCAATTAATATAACAAAATGCTTCCAAAACAAGTTCAAGTCTCCTAAGATCTAGTTATTTACAACCAATCATAGGGATCAATGTATGAGATTAAGTGCCTCTTTAAGAGTTGGAAAATTGGGAATTCGGGTCAACACAGTTTCTTGGAAGAGTCAAAGTTCATTCTTTGAGATTAAGTGCCTCTTTAAGACTATCTTTAGGTAAAAAGATGAATTTATGCATATTGGCATACATAAATTTATCCACACACGTCAACAAATTATCAAATAAATGTTAAACAAGTTACAAAACTTAATAACAGAAAACAAAGAAAGCAGCATACTGCAATTTTAATAATAGGTTTCGAAAGGATATTTCAGTCATTTATACAAATTAAAAAGGGTTGGAATTAAGTTTCATGAGTTTAAGGATAGACAATTGAACTTCATCACTGGTACTATTTTCGAAATTCCAAAAGGATCACAGTTCTATAGTCATATTCATATTAATTAGTGTGTAATCTTTAAAAAGTTGTCACTAAAAAAAAAGAAAAAATTGAACAAAAAATAGGTGGAATCTTTACAGAACCACCCCTAAACATGCTGTCATCTTACATGGCTTTCATTTTTTTTGTGATTTCAGTGGACAACTCGGATTTAACTTTTAACTCTTCAATTATTAGAAGGATTAACTAGCTTACTGCATAATAAATAGTGAAAAATTGTTAATTATTAGAACAGTTAATTAACTTACTGGATAAAAAAATACAATTTTTCTTTTTCAGAAGGAATGAACCATTCCATTCCTTAGATATGGTGGAATTAGTTTTTTTAGTTATGACCACCTTCTTCTTTCTTCTTCTTCTTCTTCTTCTTCTTGGTTATTTGGGTATTAGGTAATATTGCTGGAGATTCACCCAAATGTCATGATCTTGTCTCAGGCCAAGGTACCTTAATGCAATTGTATGATAATATATATCTAGTTAATATCTTCCAGTTAAATCTTTTATTTTATTTTTTTCTTTTTGTAAAAAGTAGGATTGAAAAATGGATAGACAAAAACCTTAAAGTAATATAATTATTTATAGGACTTTTAGTTAAATATGACATCTTTTAGATTCAAACACATAACTACATAATTTATTACTTAATATAACTTATGTAATTTTTGATTCAAACAGCACCACAAACTCACAAGGTATCGCTTCCACCTCCATTAAGAGGTCCAAATTTATCTATACTACAAAACAAAATCTTAAACATATACCAAAACCAAAATATGACAGTTTTTGCAAAAATACCCTCGGGACTAAAACTGTCCCAGATTTTCGGATTATCCCAAAAGTAGGCAAAGGATTTTGCATATGAAAAACATAATTAATCTTATTAATGGCTGCAAGACGTATGAGGCAGAAGGGGGAGGAAAATTCCGTGTCAAATTTTATAAAATTAGGACCAAACGTGCAAATTTCATGTCAACCAAAAGGGATCAAAACTATATTTTACTATTTTGTAAATAACAGTTCTTAGACTGATTAGATATAAGAAAGCCCCTACATTATTCAGAAATTAATATTTTTTTCAAAATTCTTTAAGAAAATCTATGTTAGTTCGCATTTTTCCTAAATAAGTATTTTTGTTAAATCACTTCAGCAATCAATATATATGTTAATATCTTAAAAGAAATATCTAAGTATTTCAATTAGTTAAAATATTCAATACCGCATTTAAATTTTTTTTTGGCTTATTTACAAAAAAATATGGCATGGTTTTCTAATTATTTATTTTTTCTTCGTGTCATCAATTTATTATACGTGGACTAAATGTGAAGATTCCTGATTGTTATAAATTATAATGGATATATTTTCAAATTACATAAATATACAACAGAAACCACATTAAGTAATGATTTTTTTTTGTAAGAAACTCCATTTCAACATCATCACTTGGAAGGATTCAAAGATCAAACCTGGGAACAATCAAGAAAAATCAAAATGATTCTTTTTAAAACATCTTACAGGGAAGTTTAAAGACAACAAGGGACTCGCTGATTGGCTCATGAATGTTTATCCTCCAAATTTTGTCAGTTACCTACAATAATATTAACAACAAAAACTTTATTATGTATCAGAACTACCTTCCATATATATAGGGAAGTTTAAAGACAACAAGGGACTCGCTGATTACCCGTATGTAGACGTATGGGTAGACCTGGATACCATCAGGGGTCTCATTGCATGTTGTAATTGTCATTTTGAAAACAGGGTGATTCATATCAGAGGCTTCTTCAGGTGCCAAAAGTACAGGCATATATGTCAAAGGAAGTTGGTTGTCAAGCTGCAGATGACCGAGTATCAGCTTGAACCTGCTTGTGATCCCAGTATCATAACCAGTTGAATAAGATACAAAAACCCTCTCCAGGTAAAAGTACACAAGCTCTTTTGGTCTATGGTCCACAAGAGAAACCCCAATGACTCCCAGTTCAACAATGATCTCCAAAGGAGCTGCGGTTTTACAAATAAGGCAGAAGAAATATGGAATAAAATACAAGTAGGCTTCTTGAATTATTCTTCATGTTGATAAATATAGAAAGTAATGTGATGTGTGTACCTAATAGGGCAATCCCAGTCTCATAACTCCCATTGAGTTTGCTTCTTGAAAGAAACCCCCAAATATCTTGCCTTAGTTGTTGTACATTCGAAGATTGGGATACAGTCAGGAACAAGATCTCATTATTAAAGTAGCCTGAAACAGAAACACCATAGAAGCATTTTGTCGAACACTTTAGAGGCAGCAAAAAAAAGGAAAAGGAAGTTAGGAGCGAAGCATACCTTTAACTTTCATCTTCCCCAACTCCATTCCAACCTTTTCCAAACCACCCTCATATCGCTCCTCCTCGTTCATCTTATTCATCGCCTCCTCCAACCACCATCCTTCACCGCCTCCTCCGATTTTCATGGACCCAATCCGCTACTCCAGCCTCCGAGCGGAGCCCTCAAGTCGATCAAACCACTCAGTGGTCTCAAATCTCACGTGATGCACATCAGCGAGGACTTAGCCTGAAGAGGGATCTGTAAGAACCTCGATATATTCTTCTCGACCTTCTCCATCTTCCGCAACAACTATAGGTTCTTGTAGACGTTCCAACGGCTAGAGACGAGGAATTTTCCAGCGAGTTCGAGGCCGTCGCCGAGAGCTCTGGAGAGAGTATCGAGCTGCATCTGACGTGTCGGGGTTAACTCCACGGGTAAGTACTTGATCTGAGATACGAGCTTGGTTGCGTTATTCCTTAAGGATAAACAAAAGGGATTCAGTAGTGGTGGAGGCGGATTAGGGTTTGCAGAGAAAAGGAGAAGGAGAGAGTGAAGGTTGTCGGCTGGTGGAGAGGATAAATTATATGGTGAAATTTAAGTAGGGTTTGAGATAAACAAAAGGGGAAAACACATGAAGGAGAAGTAGGAGCACACACGAAGGAGAATATGAGAAGGAGGAGACGCAACAGGCGGGGTTTTAATTTTTTGGGATTTCATTTTCCCCCCGTATCTACCAAACGCACGTTCACTAAAATTATAAAGCGACACTTATAGAGGACGTGCATTTAAGATAAAGCGCCCTCCGTGTTTTTTATTTTTTTTCTTATGACACTAATTTAAGGGCACGCAATACTGCATGACCTAAATCCTTAAATTTTTTGAAGAGATGACACTTTTTTAATGCCACTCTCTTTTGCGTAACATAAATCAATGAGTGTCGTGGTTTGCACGTCGTAAAAAGCTGTTTTTCTAGTAGTGGTCCTAGATCCAAAAAGGCTAAGAAATGGCAAGGACTTAATAAAGAAGCACTTAATCCCCTAAGTCACAAGCTCATTTACTCCATAAGAGCTTATAACAACAAATCCATCCTAAAGACTGATGCCTTATAGACATGCATGTCCAATGTAAGTCTTGGACTCAACTTAGGTCAAAAAGGGATTTTATGACCAAAATTGTCACACCCCCAAACCAGAACGGCAGAAACGTCTAGGGGCGGATTACTTTCATGTACAGTATCATAACAATTGAATAATAAAGATCAAAGCATTACAACTGTGACATCCCCAAATTTCTCAGCCAGAAAAGACCGATTTAATTTATGCTTTTAAAATAAAATCAAAGTAATCTTTTAAAAGATGTTGTGCAATTTGTTCCCAAAAACATGATAAATATTTTATCAAATCATTTCTGAGGAAATGTATTTTATTCATTTTAAAATTTTGGGATGTCATTGTCAAAACAGAAACATAAGCATAAACAAAACTTACATTCATTTACACTAGTGATTTTACATCTCCTTTAATCTCTCAGTGTAACGTAGCTTCGTATGGGCACTTGTGATACAAATAACTTGAGTGGGTCAGGTTGGGAAACTTGGTGAGTATATATAGGGTTTTTAACCCACAATAATAAAGTTATTGTGTTTTATCATCAGACAATTAACCCAATTACCCAATTAACCATCCCCATTATCTTCTATATTTCTTAAGGATTTACACTAAGAACCATCTATCACTCATTCCTAAGGATTCATCCTAAGTAATAGGCACAAAATACATCCTCGCCAGGTTTATACAACAGGCACTAAGTCCACAGCTGCCAGGATTTATACAACAGGCACTAAGTCCATAGCTGCCAAGGTTTTTCAACATGTGCTAAGTCCATAGCTCTCATTTAACGACAGTATTATTCACGGGAATCCACCTGTAATACATATCAATGGGTTTTTAGAGTACATCTGATGAACATATAGTTCACAACACCTACAGGTTGCGAGTCTGCTAGTGTTCCACGGACCATCTAGAATAGTCCATGGTTGTCATCCATACTTTGATGAATGACGGGGGCCAACGTTTGGGTAACGGCTTCTCTCATATTTCACCCCTCACCCTCATCTCATGATATATATCACCAATCATCTCATTTATCCAACTCATCTTTCATCACATACCAATTATTTCATCTACCCATGTTTTACCCAACATTTTTGTAGATATAAAATACATATACAATTTAAAAGTTGTATAAAACATCTATTCAACACCCATCTCAAATAAACAAACAATATAATTACACATAGCACGTATTTTATAGAAAATACTTCATATCTATGTGTAAGATGAAAATGACTACACACTCACTTGATTTAACAATAATCGGGCAGCACTTCGTTTCTTAAAATGATCGTTTCCGATGAAACCGGGAGCTTTAATGAAAAATCGGGCCTTGCGAGGGTTGAGCTTCAAATCGAAAAGATAAATTTGTCGGGGTCTTCGGACACTTCGGGACGTTCTTCGGGTGTTGGATATGATACCGGGGCTTCGGGGGGGGGGGTTGTAAAAAAGTTTAAGGAGGTGAAAGAAGTGAAAAAGGATGAAAAATGGTGTAGGAATCGGGAGGGTTCGCACCTCCTTTTATACCCTGCGAGGGTTCGGACCGAAGGGGGAAGGGAGGACAGGTGGCAGGTTCGCAGACGACGGGGAGGACACGCGTCGGACAGGAGGCGAGGCCGAGACATGCGTCAGCTTCTGATTGGACCTCACTTCAGTCGAATCAGCAGACGGACACGGAGCAGGCTCGCATGCGAGGCGACGTGGCTGATTCCAAGCCATGCATGCGAAATTTCTCGGATTTTGTGCCCCGAACTTCAAAAATATATAACTTTGGCATACGAGCTTCGTTTTCAACGTTCTTTATATGCACGCGTAGGTGAGATTATAGTATATGAATTTCGTTTAGACTCTGTCGGCTAATTTTTAATTTATTTTTAATATTATTATTTTTAACAGACCGGGACAGGAAAATCCGTTAAAAATTCACAACTTCTTCATCCGACGTCCGTTTTCGTTTGTCTTTTTACCGTTGTACTATTATTGACGAGACCTTCGATTCTCGTTTAGGTTGTGTCGGCTAAAAATCACTTGATCTAAAATTCGAGTTTTTAGTTGTCTACTACTAAGCTGAAACTTAGAAAAATCATAACTTCCTTATACTAAGTCAGATTTGGGGATTCTTTTTATTTACACTCTCGGTTTAACGAAGACTACGACTTTCGTTTAGATTGCTAAGGCTAAAAAGCACTTTATAGTAAATTCACTTTTTACGTCTCACAGCGTCATGCCAGTTCTGTCGCGAAAGTTCGACAGGTCATAACTTCTTCGTTATAACTCGGATTTCGGTATTCTTTATATCTCCAGAATCCTTATTTCAACCACTACAACTCTCTTCATAGATATCAGGTTTGTCTAACATTTATTTTCGACGCTTATTTTTACCCTTAGTTCATTAAATTATAATAATTAATCATAAAACACATAATAAGCAAATAATACATGTTATTATTTCAAAACAAGTTACAAAGGTTGGCCTAGACTATTACATCATCATTAGTGCCTAGCCTAGAAACACGGGCGTTACAATTATCTCCCCTTTAGGATGATTCCGTCCCCGGAATCATACATCAGCAAACAAATGCGGATAGCGACTCATCATGTCACTCTCCGTTTCCCAGGTGAGATGTGGCCCATTCGTATGTTTCCATCGCACAAGCACTAAATCGACCATCTTGCGTCGTAACTCATTTGACGATCATGAGCTTCTAACATCCTTTCCCTAATCACTTTAAGCTTTTCAGCAGTTTGATGAACTATCTCGGGTCCCATAAACTTCTTTTCCCCAGCTTCAAGTCAACATGACGGCGTTAGACACATTTGTCCATACAAAGCTTGATAAGGTGCCATCTTGATGCTCGAGTGAAAACTATTACTGTAGGAAAATTCTACTAGAGGTAAATGTTCATCCCAGTTACCTTGGAATTCCAGGGTACATGCTCGTAGCATATCCTCCAATGTTTGAATCGTTCGTTCGCTCTGACCATCAGTTTGCGGATGGTAGGCTGTACAGACACAATTTCGTACCCAATTTCTCTTGTAGACTTCTCGAAAACCTCGACGTGAAACGACTATCACGGTTTGATACAATCGTTATAGGAACACCGTGAAGTTTTACTATCCCCTTCACGTAAGCATTTGCAAGCTTATCCATAGACCATTTTTCATTGGTTGCTATGAAGTGTGCACTTTTAGTAAACCGATCAACGACTACTCAAATGATGTCGTGACCGCTCTTCGTTCTGGGCAGTTTAGTCACAAAATCCATGGTGATGTCTTCCCATTTAACCATGGGTACAAGTAAAGGTTCTAAACTTCCATACAGTTTTTGATGTTGTGCCTTAGCTCTCGCACATGTCACACAATCGGCCACATACTTTGCAACATCGAGCTTCATCATCAGCCACCAGTAGTAGGGTTTCAAATCCCTATACATTTTTGTGCTTCCGGGATGAATCGAGTACATGGTCTTGTGAGCTTCTTCCACCAGAAGATTTCTTATTCCTCTGGGTTAGAACACAAACCAACCTAGCTCCAGACGCGTCACTACAGACTACGAAGTCTTCAACTTCGTTTTTGGAAACACTAACAAGAAATGGCTTGTATAATGACTTCATACGTTATGTCTTCATCCTAGGTAATAGTCGTAATGATTATGTTTCCTTCGAATGAGTATCTACTTTTGGAATTCTTGTATGCAAGCGGTGTTCGATCTTGTACCTGCTCCCTATCCCATGTTGAACTTTCAATTGTGACCTTCAAGTCACAATCTCGATCTTTATTGGAGACTCCTCAAAACTTAAGATAAGTTCTTTCCTTCGATTACCATAGTAGACTGATGGGTCATGTTCTAATGACCTCTCATCGTATTATGTAATGCTTAGACTCAAGTCCTTTAGAGTCGAGTTTCTGAACATAATATATCTTCCTTCATTTTCCAATGTGATTACATTCTAACATGTAGTACTTCTAGCTACAAGCCTCTTACTTTAATAATGATTGGGATACTTCAATCTTCCCGTTTGAGTGAGATACT